AATATATTATTTAACCAACTTGGCACTTAGACTCTTTGGAAATACCATGCTTCAATTACTAATAAACAAAAATTACGTCCTTGGGACGTACCGAGTATATCCGCTTTAATTTTCCCAGAGGCTGGACGTACCCAAAACCTCCGATATTGGTCTGGGACGTTCGGACCTATGTGGCACCCGAAATGGACGTCCTGGGTACCTCTTGTGCTATCTGGGTAATTTTTTTGTGTTCCAGTTGCTAATAGCTTAAGGCTGACGTGAACCGTTTAATATTATTGATGGGTCAGCGTCATTTTATATTTGACGTTATTTGTAATTTTGACATTCTGTCCGTAAGCATAGTTTGTTGCAGATTATTATAAATAGTGTTGTTGTTTATCATATTCTACCACTGTATTGTGAAAATAATGTTACAAGGCTTGTTGGTAACTCCAACAGTTATTAGATTGCGAATGCATTGCGCGGGAAATAATCTCCAACTCTGACCTGGTTCGCTCTGACGCCAAAGATTACTGAAAATTAAGTATTTTTGTGTTATGTACATATGTAATAAAAATGTAATAAATTTCGTTTGTTTGCTCTCTAAACACATTTAATCAAAATTTGCCCGTGACAAACTCCTAATTAATTAATTAGTGTAGAAGATTATAATTATGTTATAATTCCAACAGCCCCAATCGCTACAAACAGTCAACAATATACGAGCGTTAGATTGTGCCTGGACACGTAGGAATGGACCTTAAACATTTTTTTCTTTGTATATGTGGTGTAAAAAAATCTAAAATTATTTGTGAATGTTTTTAATTCCCCACAAAATCATATATTAAATTTTGTTATTTAGACAATCTATGAAAACTCTTTAAAAGGAGATACCAAAGATAATACATAGATTAGAAACTGCACAAACGCTAGCGGCAAAAGGCTAAAGTAAATTAACGCCATTTAGGTCTACAATACCCTTAGCAATGCCAAAAATTGAAGTAGATTTCTGTAACATATATTGGCGCCATATTTGAATGTTGATGCTTAGAAGGGTGCCTTTATATATTGTATTTACTGCTGTATTTTAAATAAAACCAGTATAAATATAATATTTATTTATTGTAGTAATAATATAATATAAAATAAAATAGATACATCTATGTATATGTACATATTAAATACATAATCGGTATACATAAATATGTTTTTGTTTGGGGAGTGCAAACCTAAAAAATATTAGTCTTAATTCTTCAATAATAAGAGAATATTGCAAAATTTGGTAATTTAGTCCATGTTACTTATATATACATATACATATTGGAATTTGTACAAGGCTTTTGAGTGTGGACTTTTGGCAAGTTCTAACCAACCGTGAAAACTCCATCTTGCCAACTCTTGGTTTTGAAACAACCATAAGTAGCCTGGGCTTGGCCTGGACTAAATTACCATTAAACAAGCAATCCTAAATAATCTATAATTAACAAACAGTATTTTTACGCTAGAGCGATACTGCCGTGCTTAGCCAAAAAGGCGCAACTCCACATTTTTACTTTATAAATTATAGCGCTTTATTTTTTTTCATAAGACACTTTAAATTTAATTAGAAATTTTTAGAAGATATAGTACTTAAAAATGTATGTATAGTTAAAATGCGTCTTTTTCTCAAGAGAATAATTAAATAATGAGATGAGTCTTTTTGGCTTAGGACGGCAGGATAGTCAATACTTACAAATAGGTTACATTTCCGCACCCAACAACAATACATTTTACAACCATTAACACGTTTTATCACTTTTAAGGCTCAAACATGTATTTAATACTTAATTCAAAAATTATGATCGACATCAATAATTATGATTGACATTGACATTTGCAAATAGCGTTGGTACAGATGTCTGCAATTTACAAATAGATATAGTTCAGGTATTGTAGCTCTAGAGGGCAGTGGTGGGAGAGTTTCCAATCTATGGGGTGTATTATCTTTGGGAGATACTACCTTATAATTGACATTTGTCAACCTAACATTATTATAGGTATACACCCAACAAAATATCAAGATGACCGTTGACAGTTGACAAGTTATTTCTAATGCAGTAAAAATTGTACCTAAACTCTATACACTGCTTACTATTATCTATTGCATGCGACCCACGTTTTTCGTTTTAAATCTTAAAGACTAAAAAGGAAAAAAAAAATAATAGTTTTAAAACACTAAAATAATTTAAGGCACTAAAAGTATAATAATAAGTGTGCTATGTTTTATTTTAAAATTAATTGAAATATCTCGTTATAATGAAGCCCGATCTGGTAAAAATGTATTCTTTGAATTATACATGCGAAATTTAAATGTTGTCCTATAGTTACCAAACATCCCGAATATTCCTATTCATCATTAAATGTAAATACCCTTTAACATACAGGGTCTCTAATTAAATGTTCTTTACAAATTCTGTCAAATCATTTAAAAGTCATACATTTAAATCAAATGTATGACCCAGGGTTCCACCCTGGTATGACCTTTTATAAGTTCAATGAAAATCGTAAAACTTTTTTTGTTCTGGACAGTCACTGCAAAATTGTTTAAAATTACTACAAAAACATATTTAAATTTTAAAAGACCGCGATTTTGTCGAATAATCCTTATAACTTAGCTACTTATAAATAAGTGGTAAGAATTGTTTAGTAAACCACATTGTTTCATATTGTTATATAGTTTAGGATTGTTGTATGTTGTCATACATAAATAAGTATTTTTTTACTATATTCAAATCAATTAGCTGTTATAACTATGGTTATAGTTATATAAAAACTACATATATTATGCATGTTGCAGCTGCAGTCAGCTTTAGTGGGCAACTAATATTTTTTTTTAAATGCCGAATAGTGGATTCACAGTAAAATTAGGATCCGAATTTACTTTCGTATATTTAACTACCTACCTATAATTAAATAATTTTCGGAATACCTCGGAAAAGGCCGACTCCGGAAAATTTTGTGGGATAGTCGCTATGACCCTGGTGATAAATTAAATTCATTTTTATAAAAACGGTTACTTTTAATTTTTAAATTTATTATTATGTAATTTTGCCATTTAATAAATTTTAAAAATCTTTGTCGACAAAAATCTTCTCACCTAATACAAAAAATGTCCATGTCATAGAATATTCTCAAATTTTGCTACAAAATGACAAAAAAGATTTTATCCGAAACTTTAAAATGTTGTTTAATAAAAATAATAAGTTAATTTTATTAATTAGATTAAAAAAATCGCCGCGTCGGGCAAATATATATACATATGTACATATTAAGGTACATATATAATATTACAAAATACCGCGCGCCTGACGTTGGCTAACGGAGGGTTCAGATGCAAGTCGGCACGGGTTCCCGTTTATAGAATGAGCTAAAATTTTTTTTGGGAGTATATAAACACGTAATAAATATAATTAGGGGGTATGCGTGAAAAAAAAAAAAATAAGGGACACCCTAATATACATACATAATATGTATTACATATACATTTAATATGTCATATATACATAAAAAAAGTTTACAGTCTCAGGTCAACAGAATTAAAGTAATTTTACATAAAAAATAATATAAATATGGCATATGATATTTTTTTGAATTTTATTTGAAAATATTTGAAATTTTTTATTAGTGTTATTTTTGATCGCTGGTATCTTTGAAACGGTTGACCTGAAGAACTTTGACCTTCAGATGTTTTTTGTAGAGCGTGAAATTGTCTATAACTCCTCGCTTGGGTGTTGTGAAAACAAACCATTCCAAAGTTATAAGAATTCAAAATTAAAAAAATAAAAATTTCCGTGTTATTGAAATGGAAAAACAACAAATGAATTGAGGCAAACCTTAATATTAATATTAAGAGCTCAAATATGCGTCAAAATGTTTGGTTTTTAATAAACTTTTAATTTTTTAACACCATTAGAATAAAAAATAATTTAAGTTTTTTTTTAAACACCCTAATATTTATACATATATACATTTTTTATCACTCACGTGGTTATTTGCCTCGGCTTTCGCCTCGGCAAATAATTTCCACATTCGTGATAAAAAATACGACTTTACTGCCTTGATACATAAATTACGGCTGGTGGATTTTGGGAAGACCCATATCTCAGTTATTAGACATGGGACCCACATCAAATTTATATGAGTCTACAATGACATTATATAAACAAGTTCTGTGCAAGCAGAATTTAAATTGAAGTTTGCAAAAAAAGTTAGTTTTTAAGTGTGCCCCCCAGTCTCCTGCTCCCCCAAATTAAGATAATTCAAATTAAAGTGGTACAATATTTAATTTCCTGAAGTTTATCGGCAAATTTCAAATTTTATTAAATTTTTTTAAAAATTACATGTTTTATACCATTTTTATTATTTCTTTTACTAAATTTAAGAAAAATAAAAAAAACTAACTTTTTTTCGCAAACTTCAATTTGAATTCTGCTTGCACAAAACTTGTCTATATAATTTCATTATAAACTCATATAAATTTGATGTGGGTCCCATGTCTAATAACTGAGATATGGGTGTGGCCAAAATCCACCAGCCGCCACTACCGTAAGTACCACAGCCCTTGTTTGTGGTAGGTATCTATCTAAATTTAAATATGGGTGCATATCTTTTTATTCATACTATACTTAAGTATAAGTAAATTAAATTTGTTAATGACATTAAAAAAAAATTATTACACTTTTTACCCTTTTGATTTATTAAAAAAAAAACTCGCTTTAGATTACAAAAAAATAGAAGTACAAAAAAAATATTTTTATTATTAATTTTATTAAAAAAGGAAATATTTCTGTTATTTTTTAGTTTAAAGAATACAATCAATAACTTTAGTAAATAAACTGTTTTTAGCAACAAAATAAACAAATTAATATTCTAGTTAATTGATTTAAAAGGTTTAACATTTTTATTTTTGTTGTCCAAAATTTATTTTAAAGTAACAATATAAATATTTTTCATCCTAAATTTTATTATATGATTGTTCTTACCTATATCTATCAAATTTTGCGTATTTCTTCCAATCCAGAGGGTTTGATTTGTACGAGTTCATAACATAATTCACCAGTTCAATGTTAACATTATCACTCTCGAAAATAACCCTTAGCTGATTAATAAGGTCCTGCAAATTGTTGATTATGGGTAGCTGACCGCCCATTTGTTTGTACAACTGAATTTCAGAATAATCGTCATCGTCATTGTTGTTTACTTCGGGGTGGTATTGACACACGGTGGCGGACATATCGACTGTTAAAATACTAAGAATTCTTACCCGTAAACACGAATTGTCATAATTATTAAAGGCTAAAACACTTTTGATAACAAACTGCTTCGTTATCAGGGGTCACTGGTAGGTTGCAGATAGTACAGAAAATACAGCAAAATTTAAGTGGGAAAAGCGCGGTATTGCTCCAATGAAAACTGCCTATGGACTGGCTAGATGGTAGATACTAATCTCTATTAACTGTACACATTTTGGCTTTGTTTGTTTGTCAACAAATTTCTTGCTTTTGTTGCATCAGGTGACTTGTTAACAGGATTTTTGCACTTGGAAAATTCGATAATTAGTATCGCACATGCTGCTTACCTGAAGTAGACTAGACTAGACTGGTACTTTTTAAATTTATCTATTGCCAAAACACAATGGAAATTTATAAATTTTTTTAAACTATTTGAATAAACTTGGATAAGTGATTGATTAAATTTATTGTCTATCAGTAATTCTGCAGATAAAATTGGGTCAAAATTTTGTTATCAATTTTGTTAAGTACGTATACTTATATAAGTACCATTATTTTAGAAAACGTATTTAACCATGTTTTAATGCTGTTTACAAATTATAAAGTCTCAAAAATTAGTTGTTTTACTTTTTTAATAATGTTTATATTATAATAAGTGTATACAGGGTGTCCAAAGTTATCTGCTCACCATTACTATCTTTATTATTATTGGAGCTACAAAGTCGGTTTATTTCTTGTTTCCTGGTTCTTGGTAACACTCACTGTATCAAAACTTTTTAAGCTCTTAATTGTTATTTAATACGAGTAAAAATTATTTTAAAAGAGCTTGTTAAAAAAAATGTATACAAAGTAAATTAAAAACTACTAATAAAAAAATATTCTTTACGTATAAATTGTTAGTACGCCATTTCGGTACACCCTTTATGTTTAAAACTTAAACTTTTAGTGTTTACCTTCTTTTTTTAAATTAAAATCCTGTATAATTTGGTAAAGGTTAAGGTTTTTGAAAATAGGGTGAATATTGTGTTATTACATATATATACAAAGTTTCATGGTCAAAACACTTCACTTAGTATGTATAAAACCACAAGGGTTCCTAAGTACTTTTTTCTAAAAATATATATTTTCAAAATAACAGTCTCGTTGCGAAAAATTCACCCTTAGAAGCCTATTTTTTTACAGTAAAAACTGAGGATGACCTATGTAAGCACTGTGTGTATTTAAAACATTAATAAAATATTAATATTAGTATTATTTTTATACCGATGCCCAAGACACATCATTTCGACCATAAAACAACTGCTTGTGTATTATTTATTTACCATCTGTAGGTACTTAGTACTTCATTTTATTTTTAATGTTTTAGTGTTTTAAATGTAAAAAAAAATTAAGTAGGTTTTTAAAAATTAAGGAAAAATGATTTGTTATAATTGTTTTTATGTCAGACATGAAAATAATAATAATAATTGACTGTTTATTCACCGCAATTTTAGTGTATGCATAAAACCGCTAGGGTTACTTCACTTTTTTGATAATTTTTTATTATGCACGATTGGGTTTAAAATAAAGAAATTAACAAAAAAATCACACATCTAAAAACAGTTGTTAGGAAAACAAAATACCTGAGACATTCTTTTACATATCGTACGGATTACAGAAAACATATTTTTTCAAATTTTTAAAATGACTTAATTTTTTTTTACAGCATCTTTTCATAAATTTAGCCGACCCCTATATCGGAATTTTTGCAGAAAATTTATTTTTCCAAAGATATTTTGATTTAAACTTTTGATAAAATTTTAAAAAATGCTGAATTCTTTTGTACTTAAAATTCATTATCTCCGGTTCTACTGATCGGATCGATTTCATTTTTTTTTATTTTAAACCATATTACATAGTCTTTTTAGACAAATATTTAAAAAGTTTGTGTTTTGTTTATTAAATGAAAAAAATATTTTTTTTCGTATAAACAGATTTTTTGTGTTTGCCCCCTCTATGAAAAAAAATTAAAAAAATACTGTTCTATGCACTATTTATTACTCTACAAAATGAATTTTTCAGAAAAATGGAGACTTTTGGATCGGAAGAAATTAAATATTTTCGAGCGCGTGACCGGTACAAGCCGTAAGGGGGCATCCATTAATTACGTGAGGCGTTTAGGGGAGGGAGGGGGTCAAGCCAAATCTCATCAATTATCACGTAAGGGAGAGGGGGGGTCTCGGCAAATATCACGTAATTTTAAACAAAGTATGTTTTTTTAATAAATCCAACAGAATCAAGCAGTTTAACGTATAAACATTAAAAATAAGCATTTTTTAAAATCTCACGTGAGATTAGGGGGAGGGGGTTGAGCCAAATCTCACGACATCTCAGCAAGGGGGGAGGGGGTCAAAAAATCGCTAAAATTGACTCACGTAATTAATGACATCTTCGAAACGCTAACACATTTAGGATACTGTAAACTCATACATCGTTTTAAAAAAATACCAGCGCTTTTTGTAAATTAATTCCGATTTTAAAGGTTTTCAATAATTTTAAATAAATTAAATTTTAAATAATACAAACTCCAATTAATGAGTAAATTTATTAACTGGCAGAATTGACATTTGCACAAATAAGTCACCAATTAAAAGATGTCGAATCATGGCACTCTTATACAAAATATCACGTCACCCGCCACATGCACTAATACGTTTGAATATTACGCGCTTGACAGTCCTGTCACGCGCTCGAAAATGTTTAATATCTTCCGATCCAAAAGAGTCTCCAATGTTCTGAAAAATGTATTTTGTAGATAAAGAAAAAGCGCATAAAATAGTATTTTTTTCCTTTTATTTTATAGAGGGGGCAAACATGAAAAACTAGTTTAAAAAATTAATCTGTTATTAACTATAACTATACTTAAAAAAAAAATTTATTTATTTATTTGAAAAGCCTATTCAATAAGGTTTAAAACAAAAAAAAAACAAAATCGATCCGATCAGTAGAACCGGAGATAATGGGTTTTATGTAGAAGAGAATTCATCGTTTTATCGCAATTCATAAAAACTTTATATCAACATATCTCTGAAAAAACAATTTTTTTACAGAAAAACCTGATACACGTATCTGCTTATTTACTGAATAGAAGCGGTAAAAAAAATTTTCATGCGAATCCAAACCCTGAAGTCAAAATAGGTGTACGATTTGTAAAAGAATGTCTCATATACAAAGAATATAAATGTATTGTCTGACAGTTTGTGTCAAAACTCATTGACAAGTTTTAACTTTTTATTTGTGAAACGAATTAAGAAAATCGTTTATCCTTATTAATTTCAACGCTTACTACCAACTTATTCGATTATCTACTGGGCTGTAAAAATAATTAGATAATAAGACCAATCAGGTTTACAGGTTTAACCAATAAAAAAATCGATTACTTCTGACACATCTGAAGCAGTCTAACCTCAACATACTGTTAAGAACGTGATCTAGACGTCGCGACGATTTGGATCTTAAGCTTGATCTGGATTTGGACTTGGATTTTGATTGTGAACATGACTTGGATTTAGACCTGGATCTGGGTCTTGAGTATCTTTTTGATAAAGCCCTTGACGAGGCTCTTGATCTCTCCACATCACTGTTTCCTCTTTCCTTTTTGTCTTCTTTTTCTTGGTCTTTCTTCGTCTTGCTGTTGTATTTTTTCTGGTTTCGGTGTAAACGTTTTAATATCGTTTAACAAATAAAACTGTGCTTTAAAGATAAAATGTTTTATGTCATTCGGATAAGTGTCTTTTTGTGCTTCGCTTAATTGTAGGCCTCCGCTAACCTGTGGGACACTACTAGGGATGGCAACAATATATCGATATTTTTTATAATTGCAATATTTAACAATATATCGTTATATTTTTAATTATTTAGGTATACAAATTTTTATGTTTTTCAATCAATATTATTTATTTTATTTCCACCTTCTTAGTAAATGACATTTTATAGGTTAATTTTGTTGTTTCTGTATCCAAGTAAACGATACATTATTGGAACAGGCCTGTAATATTTTACGGGCTTGTATAAAAGACCTGTAAAGTTTTACAGGCTTGTAGAAAAGCAATTTATGAAATGAAATGTACATTTGACATTTTAATTAAAATTTTAAATTTGAAAATAGTTATCTAAAGGTGAAAATAAAAGTTTGTACGTGTCACGCTTTGCAATTCATCTTTACTATTCTCACTGGATTATGGCGTTCGCTCCTGCGTCGCTTACCACACAAACTTTCAGCTCACCCGTAAACATTCATTTACAAAGCTTGGCACGTAAATAACTATTACTTCTGTGCAAATGGATTATCATTTAAAATTAGTAGTACGAATTCTTTTGAACGGACTAAATTTTTGGTGACAACGTGAAATTAATATTAATACACCAATAGTTTAAACTTAAGTGGTATACTATTTAAAATTTTTGAATGAATTACCTATTTAAAATAAGGCCCTGGTAAAATTAAAGACAAATACCTACGTGATTTAAATCATTGTTTAAATATATTTAAATACTTTTTCTTTGTTTATAAACTATAGTTGTGTGTTTGTTTGCAATTTAACATATTATATTATTAATTTTAATTAGTAAGTAGATAGGTATTTTGTTTTTTAGTGTTTATATTTTTTTGTTGATAAATGACACTAAGAAAAAATGCAAGCAAATTATTGATAATTAAATATTGGTAATTAACGGTAACAGTTTAAAAGCCAATTAAAAATTACTTTCTTTCTAATTACCACTAACAAGAAGATAAAACATTGCATTTTTTAAGGATATTAATGTTTATACTTGTTATACGAAATTAATAGTATCTATAATATGTATGGCAATTACAAAAAGTTGATAAATTAGGAAAAAAACAAACTCATTCTCAATGTAATATGCTTGTGCATACAATTCTTTTCTATTAATCTAAATAATATTTGTTATCTGTGTTAACTGTTTTAAGCGTTCAAAAACGATATTTAGGACCTCACTTAAATCTTTAATAAGTAATCAAAGCAAGCTATTTGGTCTAAATTGTTATTAAAATAGAAACATTTGATTAAAAACAGATAATAAATGACGTAGGTCTATTTTTTCTTGACATAATTTGATTTGCGAATGTTTTCTTTACAACGATTTATTTCAAATTCGATTATATCATATCATATGT